ACCGATCTGAATATTTTCAAAAGAATCAAAACATGAGATTGTATTCATATGGTGGTTTTCTTATCCAGACTGGCAAGTGCCTGTCATACGTCATGACTGATAATCTAATTGGGATGAACTACTACAGCTTCGTGTTTCCAAAAGGATCGCCGCTGAAAGCCCAAGTAGACCCTCTGTACGAATGCAATAGACCTGTTTCCTTTGTATGCTTAATCTGTACGATATTCACAATTTTGGCCATCTTTATTTAATAGTAGTGTCAGAAAAAAATAAACGTCGAGAGCAGTCCTGATGATGAAAATGAGAATTTTAAAGTCTTTGTCTTTTAATTTCATATTTTGCTATCTACGCTCATTACCCTACAATCTAACCATGGCTGTCTCAAACCGTGCGTTTTCTAGGATTGTGAAACTTCGGCAGTCTGGCATCATAGACTATGTTTTCAAGAAAGCAACTGCAAATGCAACCGAATGCTTAAAACCTCCTCAGTCACAGTACCAGCACGAACTTCGACCGCTGGAACTACGTGATTTCTATGGAGTTTTTCTTCTATACATTGGAGGTAACTTTGTCAGATTAAGAATGTATTGTTTGTACTGAAAAAAAATATATAATTTAACAGTTATAGAATTCATAACCTGTTTTGCATATATTGTTTCATGGATTAGTTATAGACCTATTTAAACAATCATTTGGATTCATCTTTTCTTTCCTTCTCTCTTTTTGTCAGTAACACTGGTAATGGAAACAAGTGAATTGTAAGACAATTATAGTACTCCTTTGGACTTTTCCAGGAATATTCACCGGACTTCTGGTCTTCCTGATAGAACTTGTCTGGGCTAAACTTATTAACAGTCTGATGTGTCACCCAACCTGCCGTCAAATTTAGTTTCTGTGTTCTGCAATCTTCGGATAAAAGCCTATATACTGCTGTGTGCACCAATAAGTAGGTTGGAGCAAGGATCACACACTGAATATTACATAGAACAGAATGCTCATCTTAGCACACAATGTCTCGCTATCGGTCGCTATACTGGATGCTCTCCCGTTTCGGTTCTCGGTTCTCGGTTCTTAGCTCCACAGAAAGACGCCAACGTACATGACATTGAACTGGCACCTATTGATCACAGAGAGAATGAGAAAATTACTTGTGCAGTTTAAATATCATATGTTAGATACAAATTGTACCTAGTGTCTGTGTTTAAGTGTTCAGTCCTAAGGTGAAAACTGGATAGAACCATTATTATTATCCTGACAGGGTAGAAGTAATATAGAGGTAGATTAAGGAGTAACTTGGCTATTTTGGTGTACAATAATTAGGGGATTTCTCCCTTTGAGATCCCATTAGGATAAGCACCTTGCTCCTATTGACAGTGCACCGTTATTCCGCAGATATATCAACTTAATTAATTTCCATATTCATGATTTTCCTCGCATCCTATGCACTAGCTTGCCACGCTGGAACCGACTCCCCTTCGGTTCATCAGGTCCTACGGGATTATCAACTATTCAGCTCTATTAAAGTCAATACTGTTTATTGTCTGTCGTCGCGTAACGTTCGACCATTAAATTGATTGTCTCAGCCTCCTTTGGTAGAGCAAGGAAAGTACTAGCTTGGAGGATTTTTTCCAACGCTTGGGAGAGGCATTCAGAGTTTCGGCAACACAGTTTGCTCATTGTTGTGTTCATTTATATATAGTTGGACTATTGACAGATTATAATGATCTCATATTTGAATTCACAAGAAAACCACTCTATTACCGGGCGGGACCATAGGAAAACTCAGTATCTGTTAAGCTGGATTATTATGGGAACAGATACGTAATTCTGAAAAGATCTTGTTGGTATGGATGTTGGGAAGGCGATGTCAGCCCCTGAAAGAGGGAAGGCGTTCGCGAGTCAAGGGACAGACTCGGACTGACTCCTTTATGTCATGCTAGGTCGTTTCTCCTCTAGTTTGCTTAGGGCGTGGGGCGACATCTGGTTGTCGTCGGCTACCCCTTCCGGAGCGTTTTCTGTTGTTCCCGAAGTGAGGTCTTGTCCCAGACGGATTCCACTGGGTAATGGATATCACACCGCATCCATCAAACATCCATTAAACATAACCCGAAGTGATCAGTCCGAGTCCGTCCCTTGACCCGCGAACACCTCCCCCCTTTCGCCCGAGGGAGCTGACGTCGCCCCCATCACGTCTACACCAACAAGATCTTTTCAGAACTACGTGTCTGTTCCCATAATAAACCTACTAAACAGATACTTTTTTCCTCTGGACCTGCCCGATAATAGAGTGGTTTTATTGTGAATTTATATTAGAGGCCATTGTACAAGCATAGAGATTATTATATAGTGAACGGAGGCCACTGAATAGAAAAGGTTGTGAACCATTGCTATAGAAGATACGATTTTTTTTAGATTGCCATTAGCTGCAAAGGTCAGATTTTTTCAGTTTTGCAGTCAGACATCATGTTCAATACCTTTTTTATCATCACAAACACTAATT